CGACGGTTCGCACGTGTCGCGGCGGCGCGGGGACCGGCACTGGGTCGACGAGGAGGGCGTAACGCGCTGCCTTTTTCGGCGGGCTGCGTGCCAGCAATTCTTTCGTTTCACAACCGGGCCGCGGGCCGCGGCGGGTGTGAGCTCCGGGTGTGTGGACGCGCCAGAGCGACCCGTCCGACTATCTGTATCTGCCGGCGACCTACACGGTCATCTGACCGGTGCGGGCGTTGGGGCGGTACTGTAACTTGGGGCTGTGCAAGCTCTGGGGAGCTTATTGCCCTTGGGGGCAGACCGCGTGGATGCTACTGTCGGGAGCCTGGGGGAGAATGACGGGGGGCTTGCGAGCTCTTGGAAGATCATAGTTGACGGTGCGAGCTCTTGGGAGCTTATGGCCCTTGGGGGCACACCGTTAGGGACGCTACAGTCGAAGCTCTTGGGAGTCTGACGAGGGGACTTTGCCAGCTCTTGGGAGCTTATTGCCCTTGGGGGCAGGCTGCATGTGCGCTACTGTCCAGGGCTCTTGGGAGCATGACGGGTGGCCGTGCGAGCTCTTGGGAGATAATAGTTGGCGGTGCGAGCTCTTGGGAGCTTATAGCCCTTGGGGGCACACCGTTAGTGACTCTACTGTCGAGAGCTATTGGGGGCTGTCAGGTGGCTGTGCGAGTTTTTGGGTGCTCTTGCCCTGGGACATACCGTTACGGGCGCTGATGTCGAGAGCTCCTGGGAGCCTGACGAAGGGAGCTGCGCGAGCTATTGGGTGCTACTGCCCTTGGTGCAGACCGCCAAGGCCACTGTTGTCGAGAGTTCTTGGGAGCCTGACCGGTGGCCGGCCGAGCTATTTGGAGCTTCTTGCCCTGGGGGCTAGCTGCTACGATCGTTTTCTGTCGCGACCTCCAGGAAGCTTGAGGGGTTACTGTGCGAGCTCTCGGGAGCTCATTGCCCTTGGGGGCAGACCGCTATGGGTGCTACTGTAGAGAGCTATTGGGAGCCTGAAGGATGGCGGCGCGAGCTCGCGAAAGCTTCTTGCCCTTGGGGGCAGACCGCTTGGGTGCCAATGTCTAGAGCTCGTTGGAGCCGGACGGGTGGCTGCGCAAACTCTTCAGAGCTATTGCTCTTGGGGGCAGACCGCATAGGCGCTACTGTTGGAAGCTTTAGGAGCCAAGCGACTGCTCGAGCCGGCGGGAGCCTATTGTCCTTGGGAGCAGACGGATACGGGTGTTACTGTCGAGAGCTCTTGGGAGCCGACGGATGGCCGTGCGAGCTCTTGGGAGCTTATTGCCCTCGGGGGAAGCCTCTGTGGGGCTAGTGTCGAGAGCTCCTGGGAGCTTACAGTTGGCTGTGCGAGCTGTTAGGAGCCTCTTGCCGCTGGGGGCAGACCGCTAAGAGTGTTCACATCGGGAGCTCTATGGAGCATGACGGGTACCCGTGCGAGCTCTCGGGAGCTTATTGCTCTAGGGTTACTGACGAGAGCTCTTGGGAGCTTACAGTGGGCTGTGCGAGCTCCGAGCTCTTGAGAGCATCTTGCCCTGGGGGGGGGGGGCAGACCGCTACGTATGTTTCATGCCACGAGCTCTAGGGAGCGCAAGAGAGCATCACGGATGGCTGCGATTTGCGAGAGCTCTTGGGAGCTTTAAGTTGGCTAAACAAGCTCTCGGGGGCTTCCTGCCTTCAAGGACAGGCCGCTTCGGGTGTTTTTCCCCTGCGCGAGCTAGGGAACATGACGGGTGGCCGTGGCAGCTCTCGGGAGCTCTCCACTTGACTGCGCGAGCTCTTGGGAGCTTAATGCCCTCGGGGCAGACCGCTACGGGCGTTTCCTGGCGCAGCTCAAGGGAGTATGATAGGTGGCCGTGGGGGCTCAATTGGGAACTTGCAGTTGGCTGGCTAAGCTTGGGAGTTCCTTGCCCCGGGGGCAGACTGCTACGGGGGTTTTCCTGTCGCGAGCTCAAGGGAGCATGGCGAGTGGCTGTGAGCTCTTGGGAGCTTACAGTGGGCTGGACCAGCTCTCGGGTTCCTGCCCTTGGGGGCAGACCGCTCCGGATGGTTCCGGTCCCGATCTCTAGGGAACACTACGAGTGGCTGTGGAAGCTCTTAGGAGCTTACAATTAGCTACGTGGCCTATTGCGTGGTCGCTCCGTTTGGCGGGGTTTGGCGGGTGGTTCCAGGAGCAGGAACTTGCCACCAGTGGGCGATCGGCCTTTACTCAGCCAACAGAGTGTCTAGATCACGGAGGCGTCAGGCATGAGCCCAATGGCAACTTAGCGGCCCCCGGCTAAGAGGCGTTGGGCGAGGGCAGACAGATGCCGGAGAGAGCGAGGGAGAGGGAGGGAGGGTGGGAGGGAGAGAGATAAGCGGAGCGGGCGGGCTGGGGCGGGAGGCACGAGGGGAGCGCGGGATATAGGACAGTCAGAGACGAGCCAGCGAAGGGGACGGACCATCGGTCATGGTCTCAACAATTTTTTTCTGTTCTTCTTGTTTTTTTTCCCTGTCGTGACCCCACTGTGGCGGGTGGTTCCAGGAGCAGGAACTGCCACCAGTGGGCGATCGGCCTTTACTCAGCCAACAGAGTGTCTAGATCACGGAGGCGTCAGGCATGAGCCCAACAGGACAGTATGGCTGGGGGGATCCAGAGCGTCGTAAGCCTCGTCATAGCTGCGACGTGTCGCAAGTTGTGTAGTAAGTCGTTTTTGAAGGGATCAATCGATGAGTAGCGTTACTTAAGTAGTAAAGTCTATCGCAAATAGCCTGATTTGCGACACAACTTACGAATTTGAAATAGCAGTCGTAAGTTGTGTCGCAAGTTGACCTTGCCTTGAGGAAGAGGTCACAGGTCACAGGTCATTCGGGTCATGGTCACGAAATTTACATGGTAGGTGTAAAATTGTTTAAACTTTAGATCCTGAAAATTTGGTTGCAATCCGTTGACACTAACGCGAGTTATAGAGCTTGAACTGACGGGTCGTCTATGAGGCCTCAATCCGTGCCAGCGAGAGTGTTGAAAATGGTGCATAATATGTTATATTCACATTTATTGGGGTATTCGGGGATTTCAAGTAGCCTAACACCATTCCAGCAACTACTGGCGAATCCAGAAAGGCGGTCTTGGACATTGCAAGGGGCATCCCCCAAAATATTATCCCAATTCCAAAAACGACGTGTCCCAGCTGACCCCGATGACCTCCAATGAGCTCTGTGATGACCCCAAGTTGACCTTTTTGACCTGACCTGTCCCAGATGACCTCCGTGACATCCTATTGAGCTCTCTGATGACTCCAAGCTGACTTCTGTGACCTGACGTGTCCCAGATGACCCCCATGACCTCCAATAGAGCTATGTGATGACCCCAACATGACCTTTGTGACCTGACGTGTCCCAGATGACCTCCGTGACCTCCAATTGAGCTCTCTGATGACTCCAAGCTGACCTCTGTGACCTGACGTGTCCCAGATGACCTCCATTTGAGCTCTGTGATGACCCCAACTTGACCTCTGTGACCTGGCGTGTCCCATATGACCTCTGTAACCTCTAAGTGACCTCTATGATGACCCCAAGCTAACTTCTGTGACCTGACGTGTCCCAGATGACCCTCATGACCTCCAATAGAGCTCTGTGATGACCCCAAGTTGACCTCTGTTACCTGACGTGTCCCAGATGACCTCCGTGACCTCCAATTGAGCTCTCTAATGACTCCAAGCTGACCTCTGTGACCTGAAGTGTCCCAGGTGACCTCCAATTGAGCTATCTGGTGACCTTTAGTTGACCTCTGTGACCTGACGTGTCCCATATGACCTCTGTGACCTCTAAGTGACCTCTCTGATGGCAACAAGCTGACCTCTGTGACCTGACGTGTCCCAGATGGCCCCAATGACCTTCAATTGAGCTCTGTGATGACCCCAAGTTGACCTCTGTGACTTGATGTGTCCCAGATGACCTCCGTGACCTCCAATTGAGCTCTGTGATGACCCTAGGTTGACCTCTGTGACCTGACGTGCCCCCAAGTTGCCCTCTGGCGTCTCAGATTACCTCCGTGGTCTCCAATTGAGCTCTGTGATGACCCCAAGTTGACCTCTGTGACCTGACGTGTCCCAGATGACCTCCGTAACCTCCAATTGTGACCTATATCTACAAATTTCTTACCTCTCTGTGACCTCAAACTCTCAGAACTCATTTCTTCTAAAGCATCGATTCTAGATGCCCTATAGCCACGAATCTCCTGTGATCGATCCCAAATTTTATGGCAAATCACGTGAGCGTTAGCAACCACAAGTCACCCAATTAATACAAAGCTTCATAATCAGAGAACATGCTTGACCTTGCTGTCTCATAAGCTCGCAAACCATAAAGGCGAATGTTCCTTTATGCGTGATAGAGTTTTCGACCTTATTGACGTTTACTACGGGATCAGCTGATCGTGTAGCCTTTTAAATTCTCGAGTAAAGCGGGTATTTAAGCCTCGTCGCAGCTACGTTCTGTCGTATCCTCCGACAAACCCCTCTTTCCTCAACATCCCTCCTTTTCCGCTACGACACAACTTGCGACGGCATATGTGTCGTAACTTGCGACGTGTCGTAGATGGACTTGCGACGCCCTGGATCCCCCCGGCCTAAAGCTGTTGTTAAGTCTTCACAGCAGGGCAATTTAACTTCATTTTCCGGCGACCGGGGCTTGTAATGCAAATACTATGCAAACGAGTTTTCTGAGAGCTCCCGCGTGGCGGGCCGGCGATAGCACGCGCGCCCTGCTCGTCTGCGATCGCTCAATGAGATGGGGGGGGGGGGGGGCACTCACACTCAACCACTGGTCGAAGGCGGACAGGTTCTCATCCATTGGACGGGCACTCACCCATTGGACGGGCACTTACCCATTGCGGCATCCGATGGGTGTCGGCGAGTAGTTGAATGGACACTCACAATGGACGAGAAGGGGGGGGGGGGGGGTACTCACCCACTGGAGGGGCACTTACTCACTGGGCCGGGCACTCACCCACCGGGCCAGGCACTCACCCACTGCGGCATCCGATGAGTGTCGGCCGTCCTGTGGTGGTAGTTGAGCACCACCACAGTAAGCACTACCGATGACGCCACCATGAACATGATACAGTTGAAGTAGGTGCCTGAAACACATCCACCAGGCGGCCGTGAGTCAGGCGGGTAAAACTGCATACAGAAAGATCCCGGGGCTATAAAACTCTGGATTTCTATTTTCTTAAGTAGAAAAGATCCCATAAACATGGCGAAGGCTAAATCTTGTGAAGGCTACACTAACAATTTAGGTTCTACCCACTTACAGCCAACCTCGGCACGCTATGGACGCATATTTTCCCCTCCCGCGACGGTACAAAGCACACGTAACGCGAGACGAACCGGTTCTCCCATCGGTGGCCCCGGCTGCGACCGGGCCTGTTTGTAGAGCACACGAACAGAGACAGGGGGTGGGAGAAGCCGGCGACTGAGGATGGCTACACGGCTGAGGGTCGCAGCAAAGGTTGAGGATCGCTACATGGGCTGAGAGTCGCAACTCGCAACACAGGCTGAGGATCGCTACATGGGCTGAGAGTCGCAACTCGCAACAAAGGCTGAGGATGATTACATGGGCTGAGAGTCGCAACTCGCAACAAAGGCTGAGGATAGCTACATGGGCTGAGAGTCGCAACTCGCAACAAAGGCTGAGGATAGCTGCACGGACTGAGAGTCGCAACAAAGGCTAAATGAGACCACAGATAGAGGGAGGAGCGTGAACGAATAGGTATGGCAAGAGGATGATGGTAACTGAATGTACAGACTGGGGATTTCTAAAAAGGTTTAAGTTACGCAAGCTACATATTGCGCGAGGGCTGATTGTGACTACTGGCTACCTAGTCTAGAGGAGGACCAGCAGACAATCCAGTGGCGGTGACTTTAAAATACGAAGTCAGGTCTTGTAGGAGGTTTGGGATCCAAACCCTCCGTTTTCCAGCACACTGAAGTTAAAAACGTAAGTACATGTAATGCACAGATGCTTTGTTACTGTTACGAGTGTTTGCAAAGCCAGAGATTTGATGAAGTGACCGACGAATTGGTATTATGCAGAGCTACGTTTATTTAATTTGAGCTGATGTAGATAAAGAGAAATATGTTTTTCCGTCAGTGATAATGCTCAACATCCGTGGCCTTTAGCTAGCAAACATTACAAGGAATATGTGCCTTCCACAGAACAAAAAACAAGTTTGCCATAAACAAGAACATAAATGGATATCATAAGCGAGCTATGATTGTGAAATGTGATAAAGGTAATCTTGTAAGTATTGGCTGGAATTGTATCCACATCGACAACTACCGTGATTAGGTAAATCAATTTGCTGTTCCACTTGAGCTATGGGGAGCTGTTACTGTAGATAAGATTTTTCGCCCCGGCTAATCATCGCAACTGCAAGCCGCTTCTAATCCTAACACCAAAACAAACGATACGCCGAGTAAATACACCCGCCAGTCTCCTTCCTTCCGCAAACAATTCGGTGGCAGTCCGGGCGTTTCAATTGGGTGCTTTCAGCCGGCCCAGTGCGCCGCAGATGGTCGCGCCCATCTCCGACCGGCAGCGGCGAAACCGAACCGCGACGTCGCCGACGTCGCACTCGACGAATCTCGCCGAGCAAAAATGTTATTTGATTCGCCGCTGCGATCGCCGGGCTGCGACCGGCGGCGGATGGGCCGCTGCCGGTCCGATATACCGCTGGTGAAGCCGGGGAGAGCCGCAAGTCTCCGGGGATCTGGCGGAGAGCCGCGGCAAACGTTCGCTACTTTGGGGATCTGGATTGGCTGGGCGCGGAGTGGATCGGCGGGGAAACGAGCACAGGGTCAGGGCTAGAGAGGGAGCGCAGCATTCGAGAGGGGTAGTTCACACATACACCAATCAACAGTGTACACAGAGCCCCCACCAAGTAACCGTCTGACAGAGCTCAGATTGACGGGCGATCGACTGAGGGTGGGCGGGGCCTTCCAATCACCGGTGGCACGGGCGGCTGACCGACGACGCGGCCCTGTGCGTCGGCAGAGACGCGTCTCGACACAGGGACGGTGGCGCTCCTCAGGGAGTGGGGGGGGGGGGCGAATCAATACCGCACGGGTGGGGTCTTCAGGAGCCGCCTCACCTGTCAGGAGCGGACGCTAATGGGCAACTCTGAGAAGCCACCGCGGCAGAGTGGTCCAGGGAGACGACAAGCGCGTCTCGACAGACCGCGACATAGCGGAGGACAGAAGAGAGCATGCCATCGAGCACAAAAGGAGGTAGCTAAGAAAGTGAGCTAAAGTCGAATTTCTACAATGTACTCGTAGTAATCAAACGCCACTCATGCAGCAAGAAAGATTTGAGCGTGCAATAAAAATGAAGAGATATAATGAAAGAATGGAGAAACAGACAAAGCTGTCATCAAACCATGCCTGTCATCCGTCGGAATCTTTGAAAGAAACATCTAACTTTTGGGCCAACTTTGCGTTGGACATCCTTCGGCCCGTAAGCGTCGCCGCTGGGTTGTTGACAATGCCGTTGAAGAAGCTCAGACGTAGTGGATTCGGTGTGTGGATGGTGGTTTTGCCGACTGAGCTGTGTGAAAATAACGAATAGCGTTCAGCCCAGTGGCTCGGAATAATCCTGTATGTACCTATCATCCAAATGGAAACGCAATCGCCATCCACGTAAAAACATTTTCTTCACTCATATAAAAATACATTCCATGCCTATTGATGGCAGATCACAACTACAAATACAGATCTTCTTAGTTATCTCGCTTTGGGCTCGATTTATTGGAATCAGTTTTGGAATCACTTTTGGTCAGTCGATAACTGTTGACGCGAATCACGATACAGCAAAGCTGCTTGCGGCGTATTTTATATTTTGGTGGCGAGCACAAACCAGACACGCTAGAAGTGGGTGGTCAACAGCTTTTTGTGTTAAAGAAATTCATTTCATTTATGCTTTAAATCAGATAAAACAGTTGATGGAGGATCATAAGACTAATATATCGATGCATCCCGCCCATCCTTTTATATTACATTAGGTTTTCACTTCTTGCTCCCGGATGACACAAATATAACCTACACGAAAGTGCACCAATCTCTGAGATCAGGTATATCACTGAGTATAGATAGTCAGTCAGCAAGTGCTGTGTTTGGGAAAAAGGGACACTGCCAATGTTGTGCCAGGTGCAGGGAGTGCTGGTGACTGTGGTGCCGTTGGTGCAGAGCTGTGCTGTGAGGTCAGGTCAGGTCAGGTCGGGTCGGGTGACTGCGCCGACCACAGCTGCTGGCTGAGCAGTCTGAGGCGGCGGTGGCGGCCGGGCAGTGCTCCCGCCCCGCCTGCGGCGGCTAGTACCTATCAGCGGCAGTCTGTCCGAGTTGGTCGGAAGCACATCGTGAGCTACGAGCGAGAAAACGATCAGCGAGAGGAGAATGGTGATACCTGCAACACGGCACAGGCGCCCAGTGAGGCGGGGCGCGCGCCGCCGCCGAATGGCCCGGAGCGCGCCGGTTACGGCCCCCTCCGACTGCCAGCGGCTCTGGGGCGCGCCAACATACGCCGCCGAGACACCGCCGAGCATGCAGTAAAACCGACAACTAGCTTCCAACAGCATACAATGAAACGAAATGAAAAGAACAGCCGACTGCCACTTAGTACATTAGTCGGCTGCCGCACACAACAGATCGCACGGTCAGAGAGCACATGGCAGATAAATGCACCAAGGAAATAAAAGCTAGCATATCTAAACGTGTTAGCGCATAAGGTGCAAGTTGAAAAATCACAATGCAATGGAGAAAAGTGTTCTGAGATTCGATTCCACAGGACCTTAGGATATTGATAACGGATGCTGGTGTAGTAGGAAATAAAATACCCTTCCGGTTGAGGTTGAGCGGCTGGATGTTTGGGATGTAGGCATTATTAATCACCCTTTATTTTCTGTTTAGGCAATCTTGTTTCGGGGTACTCATTACGAGGCACATGCAGGTTTGGAGGATCTTGTAGCTGGTATAAGCTCACGTTTGAGTATCTGCGGCTCGCAGAGGGCTGGTAAGGCCGGGATATCAAACAAACCGTTATATGGAAGAGCGCCGTCAAATCATGCAGCAGGATCAAACGACAGGAGCAAGCGGCTGAAAATCCAGTTCAAACCAGGCGAAAAGAGCCATGAGCCGGCTGTCAGCAAAACAAAGAACTCGTCCACGTGCCCCGATTGAACTCAATCCAAAATAAAGAAACAAACATAACAACAATAAGCGAAGGATCCCACCCAGGAAATGGTGCTAAAAACGAGAAGGAAAGAAGGAAGAAAACGATAAAAAGACGGTGTTTTGGGCGCTCGTGGGATGCCCTTGGGTTGCCGGCCTCCCGGTGGCGTTCGAGCCAGCATACCTATCAGAGGCACGGCGTCGCTGGTGTTCGGCATCATGGCAGCGACCAGGTTCAAGAACACGGTCAGAGAGAGTAGAATCGTCACTCCTGCAACGAGACACGGTCCCCGGTGGAGGTAGAGGCGGCAGCGGCGACGGCATACCCACCAGGCAGGGCAGGGCGACAGCGCGCGCGGGCGGGGGCGGCGGCGGGGGCGGCGGCGGCGGCGGCGGCGGGGGCGGGGGCGGCGGCGGCGGCGGCGGCGGGGGCGGGGGCGGCGGCGGCGGCGGCGGGGGCGGGGGCGGCGGCAGGGCTGGTGGTAGTCTGGTGCTGTGTGTTCCTGCGTGGTGGTCTAGCTCCGTCTGACGCTCACACAAACCTAGCGCACAAGACGACACTGAGCGGGCGACATGCGATCGTGCCTACCTATCAGGGGCACAGCCTCTGAGGTTTCTGGCATCATTTCGGTGGTGATGTTTAAGAAGAACGTCAGAGAAAGCAGAATGGTCACCTCTGTCGGAGAGCCAGAAACGGTGACACGTCATTCCGGGCGGCGCGGAGGGGAGCGGCGGGCCATGCGGCGCTCACTGCTGCGCGAGTGGAGTCCGGGGACAGCCAGTCGGTCATACACAGTCAGTCGCAAGCTTTACAGGTTAGGGCATGGTTATACTTCGGCAGTCAGCTGTATAAGAGACAAACATGTTTATTTTTTTAAGATACCACGTAAAAACACATTGCAATAAAAGCCTGGTAAGCTTGATTGCCAGAGCCACGGGCTTATATGCAGCGGAAAAAGTTTGGCAAAAGTTCTAAATGAAGGCCTAATTTGCACGTAGATGGACTTTTTTAATCATTGTTGCACTGCTCCGGGCCTACCAATTTATGGCACCATCAGGAAATAACAAATATTCTATTATCGCAGCCATGTTGTTGATTTACGACTGAAATATACCCATACATCTCTGAGAAGCCTGGGTCAACATATTCCTGAGAGCCATGCTGTGATTCAAGTGGCAGCTGGCCAAAATCACCCTTCATAAATTGTCCACTCTATCTGGCGAATGAGAAAACTTTATATCTATTTATTAAGAACACCCAAAAGCAACATCAGCAACGAAGTGTTAAAAAGTATTACAGCATTAAACTATTGCTTACTTTTTGCCCAAAAAGACAGTTAACACAACAGGAATCTGTAACTTATTTAGCATTGAGCTCATCTTAGTTGACAATGCCATATTGGTAGCGTTTAAACTGACGTTTACTTTATATAAGCTTTTAGAAAAATGCATGCTTTGTTTGTTTGTTGTGTTGGGTTAGGCCCTTTCGGTCCATTGAGACCATTTCAGAGCCGGGAGGATGATAGGATATAGGGGGAGACATTGGTCTGGGCAGGCACCCTAGTGAGTCGCCGGGGCTGAGCCCGTCCAGAGGACAGGCCACCCAGCCCCAAGGCACTCACTGCACCCGGCTACGGGGTGCGCTCCCTCGGGAGCAGCGGTGCCGCTCCAAGGGAGCAGCCCGCATGAGATAAAGTTGCCTGTCCAGCCCGGAGGGGGGTTGCGGCGTGGAGAAGGATTTCAGTATCCTGAGGATAGAAGCACGGAACGGTGAAAATGCATGCTGTATTCTAGTTATTTATCAATTAAGTAGTTATTTATTCGTTTATCAAGAAGTAATGTTAAAAGGAAAATCACCATTCTTAGCAAAGAATATGCACAGGCTTTCTCCGTCGAACAACAGCTGATACCATTTTATGCCTGGTGGAAGTCGTTACATGCTGCAAAAATTAATTGAAATTTCACAATGCAAATACGTATTTTACTCAAAAAATGTTCTTAAACGTCTCAGAACATTCGTACTAAAAGTACAAAGATCCGCTCGTTAAAGAAAGGTACAATAGTATAAAAATAAAATAGTCGTGTATTTGAAAACAAAACCGAGGCATGTCCCTATAATCATTTGGTGGTCAGTTTGAGATCCTTCAAAGTGGTCCAAATAAAACTGTGTGGCCTGCCATGTTCGACGGAGAGTTTTTCAATGTGTGATGTATGTGGGTTGTCATCGCATGCAACATAAACATGCGAGAAAGCAGCAAGCCATGCTATTGGTAGTATTTCAAGGTCCGATTACGAGCATGAATATGCTGGAAAGTTGGGTCCTATGTTTAGCAGACCAATTTTTAGGAATCATTGAGACTTTTCGTTGATACAGTGCTTACTGAGTTAAAAAACTGTCCCTTAATGCCAAATTCCGCTTTCATTAGAACATATTAGAGCTAGTTGAATCGGTCGTAGAACTGTTAGACAATTTCAATTAGTTTTAATATACCTAGCTTTATTAACTAATTATGTAGCATCTCAAATATCGAGCCGAAACCCGACACATGTCTGTCGCGCACCTGTGCTGAAGTGAAGCCAGTGTCGCTGCAGCAACAGCTTCCAAATGCCTATCGGCCGATTGGACTTTTCGCCGGCACTGGGTCGGGGCCAGGCGTTCTCCGAAAGGGCTGCGTCTCTTCACGCACCACTCAACCGCAGCTCTGCCGAGATCAATGTGCAGAAGTGGTCTGTTTTCCGCAATGTCGCCAAAACAGCTCGCCGCGGGAAGTCAAGAGGCAGCTGCTTCGGACGCCCGGCCCCCCATTGTGCCTCTCAGACAGCGACCTCCGTGGGCCACTGCTATCGGCACCCAGTCAGCGGCAGGGCCGATATTTCAACCCAGCGGGGCGGTGATTCGGCCTTGGAGCTCCACTAAAAACGCTCGCCAGATAAACAGTGGCTGTCTTTATTTTGATTCCTTTAGACTGTTCGAAACTGCCACATGGTTCATGTGATATGCAATTCTATAAAATGATTCCATTCGCAAACTATTCGTAATGTCACCAGGACCCGGCAATAATATTTGAATTATTAAACATTCGAAACTTATGGTGACATGAAACGAGTAGTCTTTAATGACGATTCTCAATTTAAACACGAAAAGTCTCAATGAAAATAAAACCACCCTCTCTCGGATAGGCGTTTGTTAGCTGCAGACAGGCTGAGTGCGTGCATGCCATGCCGGTTACTGTCCAACATTCACAGCGTGCCATTTAGTTCAGCAGTTTATTGATGCCAGGATGTCTGCAGAAAGCGTTCGTGAATAGCTCAACGGCCTTTATAGTGGATGAAAATGTGAAGATAGAGCGATGCGCGACGGAACAATGGGGCCATACATTTACGTGGTGATTCTGTTACGACTATTTGAAAGAGTTATGGTGAGAGTGCGCCTAGAAATGTACGCCTTGTCAGTTTGAATGAGAATCGTAGGTAGTTTAAAAATAAGCTGTAATTGGCATTAAATGAACAGCTCATGCTTATATACCAAATTCAATTTGAGAGAGGAATGTGATATAGCTCATAACTTGCTACAATCAAACAACGTCAACTGACATTCATTGTGGCAATCATGAGCTGCATCTTTGAATCAAGTATTCAAGACAAAATAATTAAGTTAATCCAAGGGCTGTTACTCAGCAGAGCGCATTCTGTTGACACCAACGTGTGTTCTGTACGGCCCACTCGCTCTCTGCTAGAGTGGTTCTGGTGTGAGACTGCGAGCCTGTTAGCTCCCGTGGCTCCGGCTGAAGTGTTTGAGACTGGGAGCCTGTTAGCCCCCGTGGCTCAGGCTGAAGTGTGTGAGACTGGGAGCCTGTTAGCTCCCGTGGCTCCGGCTGAAGTGCGGGGTTTCATCCTAGGCCGTGTCGGACTGTGTCATTGGAAATGTCACGACTGTGTCGGAGTGCCAGAAGCGATGTCAGGACTGTGTCGGCCCGTGTCATTGGAAGTGTTAGGACTGTGTCGGGCGGTGTCGTCTAACAGACCAGCACGCGAGCACGGACACTGGTGGGCACACTGCGCTCAGCGGCGTTAGAGACGAGCTCTGCAGACTATCGTCTGTTTAGTCACTGCGCAGACACACATACAGACAAGTCAGCAGACATTTCAGACGGACGGACGGACACTTGATCACACCAGCTCAGGCCGCCAAGCCACAAACCGGGGCAGTTCCAACTATCCTACAATTTTTAGATTACTTAGCTGATCATCGTTTCCTTTTGATCGCGACTGCCCAAAACCGATTGGGATAATCTGAATTATGTAGTTCTTTGACAGGTGCTGCATTTTTGGTATTGCATATTCCGGGTTTATAAAGCTTTCGTAGAGCGCGGTTCTCGCATGGCAGTTGAATACTTGGAAGAAAGAAGTTTGACCAGTAGGTCATTACTGAATAATCGATAGTCGGAAAGAATGGCAAAATCAATGAAAATCAGATGGAACAGTAACCTTTTGCTCATAACTAAAAAAGCTAAAAAACAAATCCATTTGGATTTGTTTTAGCCAACTTTAGTTATGAGCAAATGGTTACTATTCCATCTGATTTCCATTATAATCATAATCATGCTCCAAAAAGCGTTTCACACCATTCAAAATAAATGAAGAAACAAATAAAACAAAACGATATCATCATTAGGTTAAAAAATGGTTTGGGTGCGAAAAATGAGATCGGAAAGAGAGCATAGAAAGGGACGAGAGGAATGATAAGGAGGGATAGAGGGGATAGCGTAAAGAGAGGCAGAGAGTGAGAGCGAGAGCAAAAGATGAAGAGAAAGCGGGAAAGAGCGAGAGCGAACGAGTGAGTGAGTGAGTGAGTGAGTGAGTGAGTGAGAGAGGAAGAGAGAGAGTGAGCGAGAGAGATAGAGAGAGAGAAAGAGAGAGAGAGAGAGAGAGAGAGAGAGAGAGAGAGAGAGAGAGAGAGAGAGAGAGAGAGAGAGAGAGAGAGAGAGAGAGAGAGAGAGAGAGAGAGAGAGAGAGAGAGAGAGAGCGACCGAGAGCGAGAGCGAAGGAGCGAAAGACAGAATCGCGGCGCTGTCTGGCCGCCCAACTGGAAGGCTGTGGCGGCGCCGACGTTAGCCTAATTACTCAGTGACGAAGGACGGAAAACGTCGGGCGGTGATGGGCGGCAAGAGACGTGCTGGGATTACGTGGCAGACCGACGGATCAGCTGACGGGCCCACCAACGACCTCGTCCGCGGATAGGGCGCAGTAAAAACCCGGCGAGAAACACTACATGGAAGCCAGCGGGCCGACAGGGTGCCGGCAAAAAAAAGCAGCGGCAAGGGAGACAGGTAAGAAGACGGATCGAGGATGGGGAGAAAAGGAGAAAAAGACATAGATGAATGGTGACAGGAACTGGAGAGGAAGGGAGAGGAGACTAAAAAAGAGAAGAGGGTGAATGACGGACGCCTGAGGGTAGGGTCAGAGGGTGAGAGGGTGTCCGTCGGCCGCACGCTGACGGCAGCTAGTGAATTGGAAGGGCAAGGGTCTCGGTGTTTTGGTCGGTCAGCCGATGGTCACCGCACCACCAACCGACCGGCAGCCCAGACGCTCTGACGTAGGAGAATCCCCTCAAAGGCACCGGAGCAGTGTCAGCAGCAGAAGGGGTGTGGTCCAGCGGGGCTTCTCTGATTGACACGTGTCGCTCTTGTAAGAGAGCGGGTACAGCGTACCGCTTCCTCCGCAGAAGCGTTGATTAGATTACACTTGTTTATAGGACTGTGGGGGCGAGTTTAAGGCACCTGACACCCCCCCCCATTATTTCAAGGCTAGCATGGGATAAGCCAGGCCATTCAGCAGACTGTCTGTTTGATGGCGGGCTGCAGCTTCGCGTCGGCCGAATCTTCACCCAATCGCAAGCCGACGAGCGAGCCGACTGACTTCGCATTTAGTGCATTGCACCCAAGGGTCCCGAGCTATCGCTTCATTCAGACTACCGGCGTTTGTGGCTTGGCGCTCTGAACATGGCGGGCGTCTGGCATCGCTACCGTTGCGTTATTTAGTGAGCGTGCGTTCAGGTGTTCAGCTTTTAGCAGTCATCCTTGATCGACCGACCCTAAGCCCGATAAATCCATTTCGGCAGCCGAGACAGCGACCTGGATCGCCACCAATTATCACAGCCCAATCACCAGGGTCTGTCACAGAGTATGACAAACTAATATCACGGAAAATAATTCCCAAATAATAAAAGTGCGACCCAGGACACGAGAGCAGGCGTCGGTCGGGACCTCGCATCAGCACAGCCATTTGCTGACGCTGCTTTATGATCACGCCGACGGGTTACGGTGTCATTCGTCAGCTCCGCCGGGCTCCGATGGCATCGGCAGTGACGGTGTCACGCGCGCGCCGATATGTAATAACCGCGGCGGAGGCAGTCGGCCGCGCCGCCAGCGACATGAACGCCCAGGAGAGAAGGGAAGGCGTGCCGTGTACTGTCCGGCACGCGGCTCAGTGGAGCTGGCTGCTCTCCTATTGACGGCCAATTTTAACTGTGTGAGAAGATATGAATTGCATCAAGTATTAAAATCAAAATGATTACATCAAAATGAAGAACAATTATTTTTCAAAACTTGAAAACACATATGTAGTTATTAAAGCAATGTTGAATGACTTAATTCAAAACATTCTTCTGCTTGCAGAACCTACTAGCTGTTTCCAAAAACGGTGCGAGGTCTCGATCGGTCAATGCTCTCGGTTTCAGTCAGTGCTCTATGCAATGGTCTCAATGAGCTCCCCTGCCAAACGCCGCGCTCCCCCGGCCACTGTCTCGGCTGCTTACCGACCTGAAGCGGCGCCCCATTCGTCGTTCGCCTCCTCTAGCGGGTTCGAGTGGCTGTGATTTACCGATATTCAGAAGTATTGGACAAATTCGGCCCGGCTATGGTCGCAACCGCTATTGTGAGTTGATACATTCATGGATTTTACGAGCCCGTGCGGGTTTACGACTTCCCGCTTTGAATAACCTTTGCATAGAGAAGTGAACTGAGAGAATGAGTTACTTGGCTGCCGTTTGTAGGATAAGAAATGTTCCTGAAATATCCTGAAACAATATTTATTCGATAAACAAACGGATGACGTTCAAATTTCTGTGCAATAATAAACAATATCGGTTGATTTTTTTCAACTGAACCGATACTTGTTATCGTTCCACTTCATCCAATAGGGAAAGATAGAAAATTGCTGGGCCCAGTTGTCTTATGAGACGTTTGATATTAGTTCTTTTTCTAGCCTCTAGATATATTGGAACGTTTTATTAACTTCTGCCAGCAACAGGCAATCGAACCGATTTTCAGTGATAACTGAAAATCGGTCATGACAAGCTGGACGGTGGGCACCGTCTGCGATGCGTTTAGAAATGACAATATTTCCGAGTCAATTCAACAGCCACAAGGACACCGGCGGGAGGCGGTGACGGGTGGGGCGCCGCCCCAGGCCCGTATGTCTCACCCTGCCCCGAGGCACGTCGCAAAGGTCACGGCGGAGCCGGCGACCAGACTTACCTAGCGTGAGTTTCTCTCCGGAGTCGGGAGGGAGCGTGAAGCCCAGCAGGGCCATGGAGGATATGAGGACACAGGGGATGATGAGGGTGGAGAAGTAGTACAGCGTTCTCCGGCGAATCTGTATCGTGAACGTGATGTCCACGTAGGGCGTCGGACAGCATTCGTACACTATCACATTCCGCTTTCCCGGTAATCCTGGAACACAAATATATGGTAGTCAGGGCACATTTTTCTGATATTATGAGGAAGTAATAACTGACTTTGCAAATAATGAAACTGATCGGTAATTTATGCATAAAATAATAATATATACTGGAGTTAAAATTGCCCGTTGAAATTACCTATTGCAATCCCGTTGACTGATGAGTTACATAAGATCAAAAGATACACCATACACAGTTGCACATAAACACCTCTATTTATTAATTTTATTTTCAAAAGTTTTGCTGAAACGGTTTCCTATGATGTGTGACTTCTCTTGTTTTAAGGATTCTAGCACAAAAGTGAATATAAAGGAGGCCAGGATCATTCAATTTCCGTTGTTGAGCGGCAAACAACCTTGTTTGCGGGAGAAGTGCTAATTTGCACAGTCTGGAACGGCTTCAACCATTTCCGAGAGTTGACTTCGCTTCTCACCCGTGGTTTTCGGCAGCAAATAACGTCGTTCAAAAGGAACTTTGTTCTTTCATGTCGCGTCCTTCACCGCAAGGGTTCTAGAACTCGGTTCGAGCTCTGCGGTACAGCATAACATCCAGGCGCCTACCTTACTGCCATCTGGCGGCCGTTTAGTAAGCTAGTGTTGCGCCGACTGTGCCCACTAGAGATGTCAATCGGATACCAACTTTTTGGTGTACCGATACCAAACCGATACCAGCTTGGTATTTGGTATTTGAATCGTAATGTGTTTGGTATTTTGTTGGTATCATGAACCCTCTCTAATGTATAAGAGGCTAAGGTAAAAAAGTTGCTATTTCCCTCATTTTCCCAAGTCGGTTTGGTTTCGGTATTTCCTCGCCGTTTTGGTTGGTATTTGGTTTGGTATTGGTATTCTGAATTTCCGTAATTGACATCACTAGTGTCCACTGTGCAGACTGGGTGTTCCACTAAATAAACGTAGCATTGAGACTGCAGGCCTTTGCTGCAGTCGACAGTCGTCATTATTGCTGGTGGAATTATGAGTCACGAATTTTATTGATTTTACGCTTGACAGTGGGCAATGGGAAATGGACAATATTGGGAGATAATGAACATGTCATACATTTGTGTTTCACACCGTACCGGTAACCCAAAAATTGCAAAACAGAAACTGTATGACTCACGGGAAATACAAGTTCTCGATATAGCGTGCTAAATCCGGCTCATCTAGCGTGTAGTGGGGTCTGATGGCAGGATCCCGTGACCGGACCCCTATCGCCGTGCCGTCTCGGGCGGCCGACGCCGCGCCGCTCCAGCTCAGCACGCTCACGCACCGTGTCGAGCGCCGCTCCGCAGAACCAGCCCCGTTCCGGCCGACCTCCGCCGGCTGATTGCCCGCTGAACGATCGAGCGCTGTCCGTAGCCGAGAGTGGAACGGAAACGGGAGGAACACAGGATGGACACGGAATGGACACGGAACGGACACGGAACGGACACGGAACGGACATGGAACGGACACGGAACGGACACGGAACGGACACGGAACGGACACGGAACGGACACGGAACGGACACGGAACGGACACGGAACGTTCAACGGACACGGAACGGACACGAGAGTGCAACGAATGAACAGCCAGTAATGAGACGTCTCTTTGAACAGGGATCCTAAACCGAGACCCTGCCACTAATATGGTCAAATCAGCACACACATCAATGACCATTTTTAACCGATGGATGAGACAGGATGTAACGAAGATAGACGGACTGAACAGACACGTAGCCAACAGGGAATGGTCTCGACCACGGACCTTCCCGCTCGCCGCCCGGGGAACGGGTGCCGACGTCTGTATCGACCGCAGGGATCCTTGTTGACCGTGCAGAGGCGCCGTTCGACATACCAATGCCGACATGTTGTTGCGGCGCCTGCAGACGGCGCGTCGGTCCGTCTGGTTCACAGCGGAGCAGATGAGCACACATACGGGCGCATGGGGGCGGGTCCCGCGGGAGCCGCGCGGCTTTGAGCCCGTTACCAGCCAGCGCTGGCCCGCCGGTGTTTTGAGCAGCGAGCGATCAGCGAAATGCTGCAGCTGCATAAAAACTGTGTAGGGAGCTTCTCTGAAAATATGCGGTGTGGGTATTCGCTATGTGATATTAGATTCTGCGTGGATATCGTGCGTTGCATAACAAGAAAACACACGCCTTTTAGTATTGTGAGTTACCGACAGACTTGCTTGCATAGCAGATATTGAACTTAAATTCTAACCAAAATGACATTTCATTTGTGCTTGGAGGTTAATATCCTTTATACAATTTACATCGACCTCTTAGCTCCTACAGCCTATCCTTCTGCCTAACACCACACTCATTCCATTTACTATGCAATGCTATACAGCTAATAAATAATCGTTAAATATACTCCTTGCTTTCTGACCGAATGATTTGTGCAATAAATAGTACGTTCAAGCATGAACCCTATTTCGTTGTTACTGTAACAAAAGATCGTGATAGTTCAAGTTTCATATTCGATCTTCGAAGACACAATGGTCTACAATCTCTAACCACTTAACTGGTGGCCGATTATATCTGAGGATAAGCCTCAGCTATGCCCGCTCGCGATGAGGAATGGTTCTCCAGCCCGCCGCTCTCTGCGGGGCCATAATTGCACGTCTGATACAGGGGAGAGGCGGCCCAGCGGCGGCGGCGGCGGCGACCGCGTGCAAAATTCAGAGGACCGCCCTCAGTGCGAGCCTCTGGAGAGTGCCGGCGCGGCGGCACCGGTCAGCCGGGCGACGCTCGGCGGACGGGGCTGAGGTGCGGCCGGCACTGATTGGGATTTAGGGCCGATCCCAGGGCGGCCAGCGCCTCCTCGGTTCTCAGAGGTGATCAGCGCCCGCCGCCAGAAACACGGCTGTGACCGCCAAACGGTCAGTGAGGTCGAGAGTGGTGCCAATGGGAGAAGTAGCCGCGAGTCAGACTTGATAGATAAACGGTTACGGCGTGTAATACCGCCACACAGAACAGCTGAGGAACTGAGTTTGCTCCAATGCATTTATTAGTTTACAACAATCCTCCCATACTCAGTGAACACATGCCAACTTTGCAGACGGCCGTTTCATGGTAATTGCCACAATGTTGCATTACCATTTGTGTGTACACTTCTGTGAACTTTGAAACACAATAACCACAGCTCACTGCAAGTGTTTTCCTCTAGAAATTATGGCTCTGATATTGCATCATGAACACCCAACTAAATATTACTAAGTAAAAAAGCTGTGGGTTCGTTCACGAAAAGCAGTGAAAGAAAAATATTCTTAGAGGGAGAATGAGGTGGGGCAATGAGGTAAAGAAGTAAACAAGGGAGGAGAGAAAAGAGAAATAAAAGGGAAGGAAATGAATAATTTTTTAAGAGAAAGGGAGAGAGTGGAGAAACGGAATGCGTTTGGAAGGGTGCATTAGCCACTACCGGTGTGATCAGAGGAGGTCGGCCGGGTCACTCCCCTTCCCGGGAGTTCCGACCCTGAGACAAACTCATTACCGAGCTGCTCGCCGGAGCCGGCTGCCCTTCCACTAATGAACGGGCCAGCAGTGGGAGCGGCTCGGCGCCGAGACTGCGCCCCGTGACCCGGACAGCTGGCAGTGGAGCAGTCAGAGGAGCGACAGAGGAGAGACAGAGGGGAGACAGAGGAGAGACAGACGGGAGTCAGAGGGGAGACAGACGGGAGGCGGAGGAGAGTCAGAGGGGAGACTGACGGGAGACAGACGGGAGGCGGAGGAGAGTCAGAGGGGAGACAGAGGAGAGACTGACGGGAGGCGGAGGAGAGTCAGAGAGGGACAGACGGGAGACGGAGGGGAGACGGAGGAGAGTTAGAGGGGAGATATTGTATTGTATTGTATTGTATTGTATTGTATTGTATTGTATTGTATTTACGATCATGGGCGATCCACACATGGCGTGGCGATTACTGCTGGTGGGAGACAGACGGGATACGGACGGGATATAGACGGGATACAGACGGGAGACAGACGGGAGACAGAGGTGAGCTGGTGGAGCGACTGGTGAGACCCAGAGGTGTAACAGGTATGGATGGGAGCTGGCTCAGAGTCAGAGGTACTAAGGCAGTGTCCCAGAGGTGAGGAGACGGTGAGCCAGAGGCAACCTCAGAAGGACAGCTGGAGTTAATGCCTGGCGAAAGCATCGATTGCAACTACTGATGGAAAGAGCAATCAGTGATCACTTACAGTTTTGCCTACTTTTTATCAGCGAAGTTACTCTGTGACACAAAGAGCGCGGCATTAGAAGCTTCGTGCACTTCAGTTATCTAGAGAATGTACGCTGGTATTTCGTGGTTCGGAAGCTAGTTTCAGGATCGCAAAACTAAGCAACACCCGCACATCATCATGGACCTGAGAGCAATAGCGTGTCGAGTACGTTTTTCCGCGCAGCCTGTTGACCGTCGTGGCGCGACGGCGGCAAATATGGCGCACGGGCGGCGGCCAAAAACAGCGGCTCGGCGCGGCGCGGCGGCCAAAAACAGCGGCGCGGCGCGGCGCGGCGCGGCGCGGCGCGGCGCGCGGACGGCCTCTGGTCGATGCTGCAAACACCACGGTCGGGAATCCCAAGCGTCCGAGCTGGCCGGCGGGCGGCCGCGCGCGCCGGAGATGGGAGCGTAGATCACCGTCTGCCGGGCGGCGGCGCCGAGCGGCCGCGTTACCGGCACTAGAACGCCGCATTACCCGACCACCACCGCATCAGGGCAGTTGGCTGGACGTTTAAACGGAGCCCACTTCACCGTCAACTTCGAATACTGTGCTGCGGAATTTATTGAATCGAATTTATCTTTTTTACTTAGAAGGCATACTTGGAAGACTTATTCAATGACGATGGTATAGTTTGCTTTTCTGCTGTAAAACGAATTTTGCACTTCTCCCTTGAATTTACCGTACATTATCACCGTACATTATCCACCAGAATTACTCAAACTGGTGACAGCAACCCGTGAGCAGTTGTTAAGTGTCGTTAGGCAATTTTCGTTTTCATAAATTACCTTTAGTTACTTA